AAGGGTTTACATACGATTGCTCGATGGTTCTAGAGTATGTGATGGAAATTGATGACTCCGATGGGACTGACCTGATTGCAGTTCTGACCTGTTATAAGATGTCGGCGCATTAACAACGACCTCTACCTTGTCTTGTAGGAGCAGGATTCCCGAAGCATTCACCCGATAATACTTGCTTTCACCCATGCAGCGTAGAAGGTACATTTCTGTCGTTGTTTTTCTGCGATGCAACTGTTCCCAATCTGCGAAGCACCTCCCTCACGCGTTCATCACACTCCTCCCTTGTCTGTCCACCGATCACTATGTCGTCCGCTCCACCGCACAGCTTCACCAGACACGTGTCGGTAACCCATCCATCAGGCGCTGGAAGGTGCCAGGGGCGCAAAAAGACAGCCGGTGAACCACGAATAGTCCCTTGACTGTTGTGCTCCTGTAGCTTCCTCGTCCACCGACAGCACTGTGTAAGCCTGATCCAGGTCAAGTCTTGAAAACACTACTTCCAGACTAGTTTACAAATATGTCCTACACCGATGGAAATGAATAATGGTGCGTCCGCAAACTCTATTCACTGTGGCCTTGTAGCCCACAACACAGTCTCGGGGTCTCCTCCTTCTTCAGCATCACTACCACCGGTGTCGCTCACGTTGCGTAGCGCACTGGGTGAATTATCCCCAACTCTTGGAGTCTTTGGATCTCGTCGAGCACTCGCGTCTCCAGAGCATAGGCACCTATGCGCGGGCATATACGTGTGTTTTTCCGGTTCTCTTTTGAATAGCTCCAACTGGATGTATTCGTCTTGCAACGCCGGATGGACAAAATTCGGTATGGCTTCGTCCTGCTCAATCTCAGCTCACAGTACATGCAGGCTGGCAACCGATATACCAAAATCTCCCAACCAATTCCGATCTAGGAGGCTGTAGTTTTTGCACCCATCAACTACCAAAAGGGGTAAGCCGCGTGTATGCCCTAAAACTCCACTCTCACCTATACGACTCGCACAGTCTTCAGGCTCCTGTTGTGGAAGTCATGCAGCGTCAACCCCGCATCTATGTCCAGTGTGACTACCTTGGCCGAACGTGCCGGAAGGTTTCATGGTGCTTAGCTGTTATCGCTGCCCCGGAATCCACTTCCGTGGATGCGTACGTCCACCTTGAGAGCCGCGAGAACTGGCACATATTATTCTCGCTCCCTTTCTCCAACGATGAACAAATGGCGCCGCTGTGTTTTTATTTTGATTGATTGATTAGTGTTTCCGGGCGCGTCAACTGTTAAGGTTGTTGGTTCCGTAAGTATCGAGAATGTTTTGCTCTGGAGATGACGGTGATCTTTCCCCGCTGGATGGTGAAGCCTATTGTCGGCTTACGGGGTTTTCGAAATTCAGGTATCTCCCACCTAAGGACACTGCCGCTGTAGCCTCCGGCTGGTCTCCCGGAATGTGTGATAGTGTGGTGCATGTATGTGTGAGTGTAAAAGAGGGGTAGGATATGACAAGGAAAGATCGCTCGTGGCCGGCGCCCCGTTTGTTAGGGTACTACTCTGGCATTCATATGGTATTATCTGATATTGATTGGAGAATGCACGGAAACTACCGATCAGAGCAGCCAGCCGCTAGACGTTCTCACCAGGGAGCGATAGTAGCAGCAGCTGCAGCGACTTCGACGTAGCTACCTAGCTAGTTTCGAATATCCTGCCACCATCGGGACTCGAATGCGGCATCCTCGCCGTCAGAGACACTGCAGTGACATCCGTTGATTCCCTGAGCCATCTCTCCTGGTGCCACTATGGTGAGTGCGGGCAACACAAGGGCTGATGCATCCCCAAGCGGGCTCTCCTGCCCACTTGACTGCACTTGAAAGGACTGCCCGGTGTTCCCCCCGCGGGCGCGTCCTTGTTGTTTGACTTGATCTTCGAGAACATCCCCTACGTGTTGCGGCATTCAGTCTTCTGACATACTGTACCGAATATTGATTCATCTGCTGGCGCCCCCGACTGGGCGGTTCCGGGGTATTCGCGAGTCGCGTAGAAGTGTGATGCAAGTCCCGGAAATGTCCAGGCGGGCGCCAGCCAAGTATCGCCGCTGCCGGCGGCCGCTGGCAGTCTGAAGTAGTAGCTAAGCTGCAAAGTGTGCATCGCGGTGAACAGTGGTGCAGTCGGTGAACAGCAGTGCAGTGCACCGTGGTCAGCGCCGTGAACTGTGGCCAGCGCAGTGAATGGTGGGACAAGGATCTTGTGCGAACTGAGAGTTTGGGCACGTTGTATAGTACTCGCAAAGCTTAAAAAATACCGGCTCAAAGTATTTCAGGGAGATTGAGTGGTCTTGGTCGGGTTATGATGCAAATTCTACGCTAGTAATCAGACATATTACTGACAATGGCCTTGCCTATGTGTTGATCAGTGGCGGCTGGGGGCGGGCTGCGGGGCTGCTGGCTCCCAGTCCTTGTCAGAATTTTTTTCTTATTAAAATACAATGTGCGAAATAGTATTTCATTCAATTACATGACCAATATAACCCATTGCTGTTGCGTGTGTAACTTACGAAAAGCTTCCGCCGTGTTCTGCTGCGAATCCATTTCCCTTCCTGGTACTGCCAGTCCCTGCTGGCAGCGAAGTATGGGCATAGTTGATTTCGCCTTTCCGGCTGTATGTCAATATTCGGATTTGAGGGGCTGCGGGAAAGGCAGTCCCTGACAGACTCATCCTCAGTTTTACGCAACGTTTACACGATTTTTAAAGGTCTGGCGGACGTATGATATAGTTGAGGTGCTATATATTGGGTTTTTCTGTTTTTTACTGTCTTACCACGGGGTAGAGAGTAAGTTATGTAATGCTGTGCAAAATAACAGCGAATTTCCACCAGAAAAACTCATCAATTACAGTGCCTGGTAACAAAAAAGTGGATAAATCCAGTTGCTAAATTTAAAAATAAAAGTCCTCTAACACGTGATGTAGCCATAATCCTTGTTTTGTGGGTCATTGAAACCAAAAAATCCAGTAACGCCAAAACGTATTTTTTGTCCGTCTGTGAACAATACTAGCGGCTAAACCGTTTAGCGGATTTTCTCCAAAATTGATAATCCCCTATTGATCTGGCTGATGTCACAGCCCCTTGAATTTGTAACCGATATTTTAATTTGTGGGGGTACTTCCCATGAAGCCCCGGGATTTTCTAAAAAAAAAAAATTAAAAATGACCCCATTGTTTTTTGTTTTTTTATTAAATTTTATTATTGGATAGTGTGAAGGGCGTTTAAGAGAATGGTGCAGGTCTCGTCTTCGTTGAAAAACCTGATTTTTCGAAAATTGTAAAAGTTCAAAGTTTTTTCGGAGCCTTTCTGAAACTAAAATATTGATGATAGAGATTTTTTCCTTACTCAAACCTGTTCTGCCCGCATTAATTAAAAGTACCAGCCACCACTGGTGTTTCTTAAAAAATCTTATTGGAATACTTATAGGTATTTATATGTCATATGCGTCCTAATTTGAATATTACAGGCTGATTATGATCAACTCGCTATGAGAACATCTTATTGGATTACTGATCGTTGTCAGGAGCGGAGCCAGTTGATCATTTGGGGGGGGGATCTTAGATTTTTTTAAAATAACAAACATATTTGTTATTGTATTATATATTATTTATGCTCTGTATATACACAATATTATTGTTTAAATAATTACATAATTCGAACAAAAATAATATTTAAATCAATTTTGCGAAATAAAGGAAGGTAAAAGGAAACTCTAGGCCTGTTTTTTGGGGTGTATCCACCGGATCGTTCTCTTGTTTCTTTCTATGTTGTAGAACGAGGAGTTTGCCGAGTTGAACACTTCCGTGTGACACATTACTTTGAAATGCGTCTATGGGACTTACTAGTGTTCTGGCTACTATCGGCTACCGTATGAATACATCACTTTGTCAAACCTTGTTTCTCGACGGGTGACTGTCCTTCATTGTGTGAAATAGGAAGAGTGGGGTGGAGGCGAGTGGTGGGCCTGGAAAGACGGATTTACGACGGGGTTTGAAGGAGACTCTCCTTTCCGGGATTGATGAGAGGCAGAGGTAGCTCTGAAATTGTCTATTCGAATCTCCCATGCTTCTTTTGTTGAATCGTTTTTTGTTATTGTTTTTTTTTTCTGAAAATTACTAAGATCCCAGAAATAATATACGTAACCATCAGTGGTGTATATTCTATGCTAGCCGGACTTACTGCGAAGTCCAAAGACAGCAAGAGAAATAAGTAATGGGAATTGTCAGTAAACAGTTTAATTTTAATATGAAGAATGTAGCACTCGGCACAAACTTCAACGAACCGACCACGTTGACCTGACGCTGACCGCTCATTGCAACTAGCCTAAAAAGCTTGTCAGGGCAATTGCGAAGACACTCCAATTCATTGGAAAATTATCTTACCGTGGTAACGTCAGGAGCGGACGAGTGGGGGTATAGGCGAATTTTTTCGTCAAGATTTCGAACGGCCAGAGGTAGATCTTTGTAGCGGTAGACTTTCATTAATGACCAAAAAAGAAAAGAGTACAACTGAAAAAATGTAATGAAAAGTATGCAGAGATATAAGGCGTTAAAGACCACTGTGAATACATTTATTTAAATTTATTAGAAAAATAAATATTAAAATCGAGACATTTTTTCAAACCTCCGCTCGATGCAAAAATCACCCTCGCCCTGCTTGATGCATAATATAAATTCTCCCGGTGAGAAATTTTCGACAGGAGACTCTTTTCACATCTTTAGTAAGTAGTTCTGTTACTTATCATGCAGCAAATATATTATCGACTGCACTACTATGTGAAGTAAAAATTACTAAGGATTCGATTAAAAAGTAATTTAAATGCATACACATTTGAAACAAATTATCGTAAATGTCTCCGTAGTGTTCCTATATTTAGTTACGATTTAAGTACTTCTTGGTACAAAACAACGCCCCATGTGACGCAATTTTTAACTTCACCAATCTAACTATTATTGTTAATTTATGTTAAAAGATCATCAAAATTGAAGATATTGTGTTTAAAAATGTGTCTATATTAATTATAGTTTTTTTAAAGATCTTAATAATTTAAATATATTGATATAACCAGGGATATTTATTTCGTGAAAGTGAGCTCTACTGGCGCAGTTGCAGGCGTTCTAGCAATTTCCGTGGGTACTTCTGTAAACGCTCTTTGGTCACCTTTTACATTCATTTGGGTAGCCGTCAGCCACAAGTGATGTGCGAATAAATCTCGTGGCCTTGGGATTGATAGCAAACGGTAAGGACGAAGTTTTAGAATTTACTGGAATTTGTGTATTAATGAATTTTTGAATAAGTACTTTTTAGTGTTTAATATTCAATTGTTGGGACTAAAAGGTTATTGTGGGCATATTGTGAACACGGGACGAGATGCTAATTTTTATTTCAATTTTCTACTTGCGATTAACTATTCTTTTAAATAGTTTGACAGGAATTTGATTCTGTTAATAATTGTGAGGTGTTGTGTTTCTTTACTTCTTTCATCGAGTGGCATGTTAGAACAAAGTGTTTCGCTGCGCAATTTGTTCCACGTGTTCGCGCACGCGCCATTCTCTATTCAAGGAAGGGGAATCGTGTACTGTTTAGTGTTAGTGTATAGCATTTAGTTACAAATTTTAATATTTCTCCTACTCTCCTATCGCTAATTTCATTCCTGATGTCATTTTCATTATAGAACATGCAGATTTTTGTGAAGACCCTCACGGGGAAGACCATTACCTTAGAGGTAGAGGCTTCCGATACTATTGAAAATGTGAAGGCTAAAATTCAAGATAAGGAAGGCATTCCTCCTGATCAGCAGAGGTTGATTTTTGCTGGCAAACAGCTTGAAGATGGACGTACTTTATCAGATTACAACATTCAGAAAGGTAACAAGCTTTCATTGGTTCATCAGTTTTGTGTAATATTCAGATCAGATAATGAGTATAGACTGATCTGCAAAGTTGTTACCAAAGTGTGCACCTTTGTACTGCAAATTTCTGATAATTGTGTTGGGATGCCGTTGCACGTTTGTTGCAATGTTCAAATTAGTCCATGTTGAGCCCTTTACGTGCAGTGCTGTGTGTTCAACTAATATAAAGTATTAGTGTGTATGGATGTTGTGATTTTGGTAGTTCTGCAGGGATGTAAATTGTGTCCAAATGGGTACAGTCATGGCAGAGTGCAAGAAACTGTTCATATATAAATGCGGTTATAATGTGTGAAATTGAATTTGTGTGTGTGTGTGTGTATATTTTTACATATATATATATATATATATATATATATATATATATATATATATATATATAAATGTACCACTAGTGTAGAAATTTAGGTTGCATTTTGTTGAAATGCAGGGAATGTACGTGTAATACGTGCTGTAGGGCAACATTGGAAACTTGCAAATCGTCTGTGACTGCAATTCACTGGAGCTTAATTTCCTAATTCAAAATTTTACGAACTTAGTCATTTATGTATTCTTTAATTCAATATATCAATTCTATAATAATAGATTTACCAACTTCAACAGTTCCACCATAATTCTAGAATATAAGATATAAATTTCGTACATTCTTATATTTTCATACTAATTACCTTCCAAACAGACAGCCTTTGCATTTTCCAGTTTACTCGGATTGCTGTTCTAAAATATTGTTCTGTATTCTTCGCTCATGGCTGGCAGCCTCACTGTGTCATGATGTTGGATTCAATTTTTGGATGAAGCAAAAGCTATTTCTTTTAATTGCTGTGTCCTAGTTCATGGAGCTGTGTGGCAGTGTGAAAGTTTTTCTCGGGTAGAAAACGGCAAATAAATTGTGTGAGGTGTTGTGACCTGCTTATGATAGGCTAGTTGATAGTACATCTTTACTTTTCATCGGAGAAATATGCCAATTCTGTTAAAATATTTTTGGAGTTTGTAATTCGCCCGTTATTTAAAATGGCTCCTGTATTACTGTCAGTTTATTTGTACATTTTACAAGTTTCACTTTTATTTACCGTTGTAAGAAAGTTGAGCAGTATCGCAAATATGGCATCCAAACTGAGGATTACGTAGTATGGGAGGAAGATGACAAAAGAGAAGTGGGGAAAATTATACATTTGAAGACTTAAGACAATGGGGACAATTTTAATTTTCAAGAATTTTGATAGTTAATGCAAAATATTTCAAATTCTTATATTGACAATTACTAGCAAGTTCGACAATTACAAATTTTATTTTAACTTAATATTAAAAATTACACATCAATGATGAAACTTCTCTGGGTCTCTTTTAAGCTAAGAGGTTGTATTAAGGTGGCTTTACACTTGCAAGAAAATGGCAAGCAATATTATTTTGCAAGAAAAGTTGCCAATGTGAACATTACGGCAAAACATATTTCTAATGTTGGCAATATTTCTTGCTAGATATTCTGGTCGTAATGTTGTAAACTCGTGTTTCCATCCTCGGAAAGATATTGCCAGCTGTTGCTGGGACTAGAATTTGAATGAAGTATGAGCAAGATATTGCTAGAAGAAGCCAATGATGACCATGGGTCACATTCGCAGGAAGTATGTACGATAGTACATAGATGTAATATTTCAATTTTAATATAAAATTTTTACGTAAAATGGGTGCACGGAAAAGGTTTGCGACAGTACAAGTAGTAGTAATAAATATTCCAAATATGGTTGATTATCAAAAGGTTCAAATTTTGGTTCAGCTGTAGATGCCCCCTGATTATTAATTCTTTACGTTAAAATTAAGATATTAATCTTATCTAAATCAATTTGAAGATTACTCTATAATACATCAGTAGTAGGAAATGGATATTTTAAAACTTTTTACCAAATGAGTAATTGTACTTTTTATTAAACGAAAATTACTTTGCTCCTATGGGAATCGAAATCCAAGAAATCATTTTGTTTTATGAAAAATATTCAAACACTTCTATCTAATTTGCACGAGCCCCCTTTTCCTTTCCTCTTAAAATTGTCATACGTCCTCACAAATCCTCAGTGTTACTGCATCTTCTCAATAAGCACCATAAGTGTAACTGCAACTCGCATGTTTTGCCTTCCAGTAGTTATGTCAGGAAGTGAGGTATAACCTCACTTAATTTCGTGCGCCATTTTCCTTGCTCCTTCACCAAACATGGCAACAAATAGTCCTAATGTAAAGCGATCTGCAATATCTTGCCGGAACGATCTTGCTCAGATCTTTGACAAGATACTGTACCTTTGTGCTCTTGCTAGTGTAAAGATGGTCGCGAGAAGCAGAAAAAAATTGTCGAAAGATATTGCGGAAACATATTGCTAATGTAAGGTCGCCTTAGTTTTGGGTAAAGTGGTACTTTATTTTTGCTTCTCTCCCATAGTTGACTGTTACTTATCTTATATCAATGCGTTTTAAATGTCCATTCCTACTTCTATAGTTTCTACCCCTAAGAGTTTGCCCATTTTGATTTCCATATTTCTGTCTTCCCATTGACACTCCAGTCTTTTCTCCTCCAGCACTTTATACCTAGGCTTTCCAGATTCAGACAAGTCTGCCTTTTCTGCTTTCTTTCTGATGTCCAATTAGAAATTTTTGGTAATTTCTCATTATTGATATGCTGGACATTCGTGTACTGTCGATGAGCTTTATTTTCTAGTTTTCTGGGTCTTGTTGTTTTAACTCTGGCTCTTTGCCTTCATAGTTTGTGGTTTGACAAAAAACTGCCTGGTCTGCAAAAAGTAAAGAATTGAAATGCCTATTATATTTAACTCAAATTTTAGAACACGATTTCTCTTGCAGGCTTCTCATGGTTGAAAATATTAACACTAACTCAGATAGTCTTTTACTATCACTTCTGCAGTTTCACAATTTTTGTTTTAAGATATCCTGGTCCTGGAACTTTCCTATTTATAGCTCTTGTAAGTGCTTTCCATTGCAGGAATATGTTGGATTCCCATTCTTTTCAATGTGTGTATTCAAAGACCTCATTTCTTGCAATAATATTTCGTTATAAGCAATCCATTTTGTTTTAGGAGTAATTCATTGTACTTTACCTTACCTTTGTTAACAAATTTCTTAATATTTTAATTTTTTTCTTCCTTGTGTTGATCCATTATATTATATTGAATAATCTCTCACGCTGCTTTTTCTTTTTTTTTTTTTTCCTCCCTCCCAATTTTTCGACTATTACAGCTCAAGGTGTCATTGGGCTTCTTTGCACATACATCGCCACAAATCTTGCATTTCACTACTTGTCCCTGCCGAAGTCTTTTCATTCTAGTTAGATCCTGAGTGCAGATCATCAAATTCACTTTGCTTAATCTGCACTAATGTTCTATGATAACTTTTGCCATTTTTTTGTCATTCCATGCTACACAAGAGATTCACAAACTACACTATGTATCAAAAAGTGAATTTTAAGAATGCAGACTAGCAGTGAGCCCTTTCAGAATATAAATCTTCTGAATAAATATAGGGATATTAGGGATTAGGCACTTCCAACACATCATTTGCCATACGAAGATACATACAGCCCAGCAGCTGTGTATAATAAGTGGGGTAAAGATTCCAGAGTTTAAAGAAAGTGCAGATTATTCTTCTCCTAATGTTGCAGTTGAACTGCTTTTTATGGCAAACTTGTGGTAAAATTAAGTTTTTGTTTTGTTTTTTCCTTCTCATACTTTATTGGTTTTGATACTCACATTACACATTTTTAAGTGTAGACACTTAAAGTTAAGTGTAGAATCATTAACAAAACAATATGTACAATTTATTTTCACTCGATACTAAACTTTCAAAGAAATAATATGCAAATCTGTAACAGTGCTACATCCCATAATATGAATATAATTACAGGCTTTGAATCAAAATGTACCCTATTAGTACTGCTTTAGCAGGGAAAGAGTATACTAATTAAATTATTTACATTTCCAAAATGAAACATACGTAGGTGTAAAAGTGTTACTTCTATAAAGAAAGAATAACTGGTCTTTTGAATTAATCATTCTATTAGCTATTATGTAGTATTTGGTTTCTTGTTCTTTTGAACTTCTTGTGTGGTATTCATGCAGTTATACTAGACAACTAAGAGCTTAAAAACGTTTGGAAATCGGTTTTTAAATTGTTCCTCCTAGCCGAATGGGAATGTTTTTTCGAAACTAGGAGAAAATATTCATAGGTTAGTTTTCCTGATATGATTTCACATCAGTATGAATATGATTTCACATCAGTATTTCCAAAAAATTGTCTGAATTAAAATTTACTTGATTATTACAAATCCTGGT